AAAAAAACTAACTTATAAACATATCGATTGATGATATTTAAAGCAAAACATACTCAAGAGTTTATGGAGTAAATTAACAACTAGCAAGTTTTATAACTAAAGAGATCTAAGATAGAAATCTTACTGTTAATTCCGACTGTAATCTTCAGAGATCAGGATGAGAATTAATGCTCTTTGTTGATATGTTGAACACCCATTTCTATGCTCCCTAGACGCAGGGATCTACTTGCACCCTACTCCATCTTCTCCAACTTTTTTGTAGGTAATTTTCCATCCATATTGCTGTTGACAAAACCAAAACCATGACCTCTCTGCACTAATTCTTCCAAAGTAATACGTCCACAACTAGGCCACCACCGAGCCTTAACCAGTCCAGTACCACAAATAGCTCGCAAGCACCGAGCCACCATATACACCAAAGCTCAGATGAATGTCACCTTCCTGGCCAAGAACAGCCCGAATGTAACTACAGGATTGATGTGGCCACCGATGATATTGGCGATGCCGTAAACGAGGACAAAGATTATGCCACTGAAGGCCCAAGAGATGCCTAGGAAGCCCACACTGTCACAGAAGCCGAGCTGTTTTTTTTTTGTAGCTGATAACAGTGGTGATAGTGACGTAGAGGAAGAGAAGGATGGTGATGAACTTGGCATTTCTTCTTTCTTGAGCTTCCTCGCGCACACTTCGTCTGTGTGTTCTGCTTCTCCTTCACTGGTGCTTTCTGTGTCTCCTTCTCTCATGTCCTCCTTCTTGTCTCTCACTTCGTCTCTCTCTCTTGTGTCTCTTATTGTGCTCTGTTTTTGCTTCTTTTTTCTTCTCCCTTGTCCGTTTTTCTCTTCTGCGTTTTTTTGTTTTTCCGTTTCTCCTTCACTCTCAATTTTTCTCTTCTTCTTGTTTTTTTGTTTTTCTCCTTTTTTTTGTCTGTTTCAGTCCCTCTCTCTGTCTTTATTTTGCTTCCCGTTTCTCGCCTCTCATGCTCTGTTTTTCCTTCAGTTTTCGGTCTCTCCCTCCCCTCTTTTTTTGCTCAATTTCTTGTTCATTTTTCGATCTCCTTCCCAAACTCTCCTTCTGTCTCCATGTTTGTTTCTCTCTTTCTCGTTCCGTCCCCGCGTCTCTGGTTCTGTTCTCTATTTTATGCTCTGCTCTTTCATTTTCATGTGGCTGTGTGCTTTGCCTTTTCTACATTTTTCTGTGCTCTTTTCAGCTGGTGTGTGGGTGCTGCATTTTTGCTTCTGTGTTTCGTGTGTGCTTCTTCCGTGTGCACGTCCAGTTTTTCGCCTGCTCTTTGCTCTCTTTTCAGACATAAAGGTTCATTCTCTGTCTGTTGCATGCAAGCTATTTTGGCTGGTGGCAGTGTGGTTATCCTCTTTTTTTTTCTTTGTGCTAAGAGTGTGTATACGTGAACTGCATAAGGGTTGTATTTCAAACAGCCTTTTTTTGCTTTTAATCATTTTTTACATTAACTTAACACACACACACACACACGCACACACATGCATGTATATTTTTTTTAAATGAAAAATAAAATTTAAAGAGAAAAATTTAACTCTTAAAAGTTAACTCTCAATATTTTTGAATGATTGGGATAATTTAGAGAGAGATCTTAAAAGATTTAAACAAGATTTTTTTTGATTTTGTTAAAATTATTTTTTAAAAAATATAATCCTAAAAGAAAAGGATTAAATTTCATTTTTGTATTTTTTTATATTTTTTTTGATTATTTATTATTAATTTTAAAAAATGTCCGGACAAAATACGGTGTTCACAGTTGCCCCTCTTTACTTGTTTCTTATGTAAGTATATGAAAAAGTGTGCTTTTGAATTCTTACATAAGTGACAAGTAAAGATAGAACATGTATTTTGGTCGGCCATGCAATACCTATGAAAAGACCTAATTGCCCCTGACACGACAAAATATGATTAAATGCAAGACTATTTCCTAACAAACACAATGACATGATTTTTTTTTTTGTTTTAGTAATGTGATGAGATGATGTGATGCAAATGAAAATGATTAATTGACAAAGATCTAAACACAATGCAAGACAGTAAAATGATTTTTTTGATTTTTTTTGAGCAATGTGATGCAAATGAAAATAATCAAATAACATAAAAGAATGCAAGACTATAGGATAACAAACACAATAAAATGATGATTTTTTTATTTTATTTTTTTAGCAATTTGACGCAAATCAAAATGACCAAATGATGCAAGACTGTTGGATAACAAACACAATAGCATAATAATTTTTTTTTGGTTTTAGCAATGTAATACAAATGAAAATAACTAAATGACAATGATCCAAACAAAATATATGTTGACTAGTTGCCCTCTCTTCATTTGATTTCTAAGTGAAAATTTTATAAGATGATATTTTTACCTTAGAAATGAATGAAGAGAGAAACATGTATTTTGTTTGGAAGGGCAAGACTCTTAGCTACCTACAAGTAAAAAAAAAAAAACAAAGCAAAACAAAACAAAACAAAATAAAACACAGGGTTTAAAATGAAATGTGATTTAGGAACAAAATAAAACCTCAATAAAGATGAATTGCCTATGTTCCAAAGGACCTGGTTGATGCTTGCCTTTACAAGGCTTGGAGGGTGCCTGCCGTGACAGGGCTTTAAAAAATTGTGCCAGCCGATACTGGGCTTTGGGGTGCCTGCCTTGACAGGGCTTTTAAAAAATTGTGCCAGCCGGTACTGGGCTTTGAGGTGCCTGCCTTGATAGGGCTTTTAAAAAATCATGCTAGCTGGTACTGGGCTTTAGGGTGCCTATCATTACAGGGCTTTAAAGAATTGTGCCAGCCGATACTGGGCTTTTAGGTACTTGCCGTTACAGGGCTTTAAAGAATCGTGCCAGCCGGTACTGGGCTTTAAAGTGCCTGCCGTAACAGGGCTTTAAAGAATCATGCCAGCCGGTACTGGGCTTTAGGGTGCCTACTGTTACAAGGCTTTGGGGTGTCTGGCGTTACAAGGCTTTAAAGAATCGTGCCAGCCGGTACTAGGCTTTAGGGTGCCTGCCGTAACAGGGCTTTAAAGAATCATGCCAGCCGGTACTGGGCTTTAGGGTGCCTACTGTTACAAGGCTTTGGGGTGTCTGGCGTTACAAGGCTTTAAAGAATCGTGCCAGCCGGTACCGGGCTTTAGGGTGCCTGCCGCAATAGGGCTTTAAAGAATGGTGCCAGCCGGTACTGGGTTTTGGGGTGCCTACCGTTACAGGGCTTTAAAGAATTGTGCCAGCCGGTACTGGGCTTTTGGGTGCCTGCCGTAACAGGACTTTGGGGTGCCTGCCTTGACAGGGCTTTGGAGTGCCTGCCGTTACAGGGCTTTAAAGAATCGTGCCAGCCGATATTGGGCTTTAGGGTGCCTGCCGTAACAGGGCTTTTAAAGAATTGTGCCAGCCGGTACTGGGCTTTTGGGTTGCTTGCCGTGACAGGGCTTTGGAGAATTGTGCCAGCCGGTACTAGGCTTTGAGGTGCCTGCCGTGACAGGGCTTTGGGGTGCCTGCCGTTACAGGGCTTTAAAGAATCGTGCTAGCCGGTACTGGGCTTTAAGGTGCCTGCCGTGACAAGGCTTTGGGGTGCCTGCCGTTACAGGGCTTTAAAGAATCGTACCAGTCGGTACTGGGCTTTGAGGTGCCTGCCGTGACAGGACTTTGGGGTGCCTTTCGTTACAGGGCTTTAAAGAATCGTGCCACTCGGTACTGGGCTTTAAGGTGCCTGCCGTGACAGGACTTTGGAGTGCCTGCCATTACAGGACTTTAAAGAATCGTGCCAGCCGGTACTGGGCTTTGAGGTACCTACTATGACAGGGCTTTGGGGTGCCTGCCGTTACAGGGCTTTAAAGAATCGTGCCAGCCGGTACTGGGCTTTGAGGTGCCTGTCGTGACAGGGCTTTTAAAGAATCGTGCCAGCCGGTATTGGGCTTTGGGGTACCTGCCGTAACAGGGCTTTAAAGAATCATGCCAGTCGATACTAGGCTTTGGGGTGCCTGCTGTTACAGGGCTTTGGGGTGCCTGGCGTTAGAGGGCTTTAAAGAATCTTGCCAGCCGGTACTGGGCTTTGGGGTGCCTGGCGTTACAGGGCTTTAAAGAATCATGCCAGCCGATACTGGGCTTTGAGGTGCCTGCCGTGACAGGGCTTTAGGGTGCCTACCGTTACAGGGCTTTAAAGAATCGTGCCAGCCGGTACTGGGCTTTGAGATGCTTGTCGTTACAGGGCTTTGGGGTACCTGCCATTACAGGGCTTTGGGGTGTCTGGCGTTACAGGGCTTTGAAGAATCGTGCCAGCCGGTACTAAACTTTGGGGTGCCTGCCGCAACAGGGCTTTAAAGAATCGCGCCAGCCGGTACTGGGCTTTGGGGTGCCTGCCGTTACAGGGAATTAATTTTTGAAATCTATAAAGATTAATTTAAGCCTCTATAAAGATTCTTGAAATCTCACATGAGACTTAAATAAATAGTATAAAGAGAGAATTAATTTTAATAATAAGCTTTGGAACCCATATAAATACTACAAAATTGATCTTGATACCTGTGAAATCTTATTAATTTATACGGTACGAGATCATTTTAAATGTTTGTGAAATTCTTAAAATTTCACACGACAAATAAGTAACAAACGAGTATACACTATTATTTTTTTTGGATCTTAATTACAAAATTCAAAATTCATCCAAAAAGAAAAATGGAACTCCTTTCCAATGGTGACATAATGAGCATGTAAATAAATAAGAAGATAATAAAAACAACCAGTAGCTTTGGCATTTAAAAGAACTAACTTATAAACATACCGATTGATGATATTTGAACCAAAATATACTCAAGAGTTTATGGAGTAAATTAACAACTAGCAAGTTTTGTAACTAAAGAGATCTAAGATAGAAATCTTACTGTTAATTCCGACTGCAATCTTCAGAGATCAGGATGAGAATCAATGCTCTTTGTTGATATGTTGAACACCCATCCCTAGCTAGACGCAGGGATCCACTTGCACCCTACTCCATCTTCTTCAACTTTTTTGTAGGTAATTTTCCATCCATATTGCTGTTGACAAAATCAAAACCATGACCTCTCTGCACTAATTCTTCTAAAGCAATACGTCCACAACTAGGCCACCACCGAGCCTTAACCAGTCCAGTACCACAAATAGCTCCCAAGCACCGAGCCACTATATACACCAAAGCTCGGATGAATGTCACCTTCCTGGCCAAGAACAGCCCGAATGTAACTGCAGGATTGATGTGGCCACCGGTGATATTGGCGATGCCGTAAACGAGGACGAAGATTATGCCACTGAAGGCCCAAGAGATGACTAGGAAGCCCACACTATCACAGAAGCCGAGCTGTTTTTTTTGTAGCTGATAACTGTGGTGATAGTGACGTAGAGGAAGAGAAGGATGGTGATGAACTCGGCATTTCTTCTTTCTCGAGCTTCCTCGCGCACACTTCGTCTGTGTGTTCTGCTTCTCCTTCACTGGTGCTTTCTATGTCTCCTTCTCTCTTGTCCTCCTTCTTGTCTCTCACTTTGTCTCTCTCTCTTGTGTCTCTTATTGTGCTCTGTTTTTGCTTCATTTTTCTTCTCCCTTGTCCGTTTTTCTCTTCTGCGTTTTTTTATTTTTCCGTTTCTCCTTCACTCTCAATTTTTCTCTTCTTCTTGTTTTTTTATTTTTCTTCTTTTTTTTATCTGTTTCAGTCCCTCTCTCTATCTTTATTTTGCTTCCAGTTTCTCACCTCTCATGCTCTGTTTTTCCTTCAGTTTTCGGTCTCTTCCTCCCCTCTTTTTTTGCTCAGTTTCTTGTTCATTTTTCGATCTCCTTCCCGAACTCTCCTTCTGTCTCCATGTTTGTTTCTCTCTTTCTCGTTCCGTCCCCACATCTCTGGCTCTGTTCTCTATTTTATGCTCTGCTCTTTCATTTTCGTGTGGCTGTGTGTTTTGCCTTTTCTGCGTTTTTCTGTGCTTGTTTCAGCTGGCGTGTGGGTGCTGCGTTTCTGCTTCTGTGTTTCGTGTGTGCTTCTTCTGTGTGCACGTCCAGTTTTTCGCCTGCTCTTTGCTCTCTTTTCAGACATAAAGGTTCATTCTCTGTCTGTTGCATGCAAGCTGTTTTGGCTGGTGACAGTGTGGTTATCCTCTTTTTTTTTCTTTGTGCTAAGAGTGTGTGTACATGAACTGCATAAGGGTTGTGTTTCAAACAGCTTTTTTTTTGCTTTTAATCATTTTTTACATTAAATTAACACACACACATGCATGTATATTTTTTTTAAATGAAAAATAAAATTTAAAGAGAAAAATTTAACTCTCAAAAGTTAACTCCCAATATTTTTGAATGATTGAGATAATTTAGAGAGAGATCTTAAAAGATTTAAACAAGATTTTTTTTTGATTTTGTTAAAATTATTTTTTAAAAAATATAATCCTAAAAGAAAAGGATTAAATTTCATTTTTGTATTTTTTATATTTTTTTGATTATTTATTATTAAATTTAAAAAATATCCGGACAAAATACGGTGTTCACAAGGCTTTTCCCCTTTTTTCTTATACGACCCTCCAAATTTGCTATTATAGCCATGAGAAACATAGTTTATTGAGTGAGAAATTTTTCTTTATAGCTTCCTCTTTTTGAGTGACCATTGATATCCTATGATCAACAGACCATTTATCTTCTTGTGAGTTGTATGAAGTTCTCAAGAATGCATACTCTGGTGGCAATGATTGAAGAACACGGTAAACTAAGGTACTTTCACCCAAGTCAATTCCATATGATTTAAGCTTGTTATAGTAATGAACAAGATTTAGAATATGCTCCCTAACACTAAATACTTTGTCATATCAAGTATTTTCAAGAAGTGACAAATAGTAGTTTTTTTGAATCTTGTCAAGCTTCTTGTATTTGTTATCAACAGCTTTCAACTATTCCACTGCAGTATCCTTTTTAGGAATGCTGTCCCTAATTTCCTTTTCAATTGTGTACTTGATGATTGCTAGACAGATTTAGTTGGACTCACTCCATTGTTTATGGAAGGCCATTTCAGAAGCATTGGACTCAGAAGAGAGATTTGTAAGCTTGGGTTCTCTCAAAGCTAAATCTTTCTCAAAAATGGTAAGATACATATTTAGAGACTCTTTCCAGTCATCATAATTAGTCTCATTAAGATCCTTCACAAAGAATAGTTGCACAAAAGTAGAAACTAAAATTGCAAAACAAAAAAATGAGAAATATTAATTATACATGCCTAACATAATTATGAAACAGAATCCCCCAACAAGTGATTATCAATTATGCAACTATAATCATGCACTAAGAAGGCTCAAATACTATAAAGATTTAGCTTATATAGAAGTCCATACAAAATAATATATTAAACATTTTCATACCTATAAGGTACAACAAATATCTAATACATTAAAAGAATGCTATTAGTCTATCATCAAAACCAAACCATTAAAATCACATTACTAATGTCACACCTATGGGGTATGTCCATTACTAATATTACAAGATCCTAAGTATCACCAATAATTCCCAAAGTCATAAATTTTATGACCTTAGGACAAAATAAAATAATTTTAAAAAAAGTCCTTGGGGTCTTTTGGGAATTAGAGAACAAATTTGGAGCTTAAGTGGAGTTTTGAAAGGTGTCCAAAGGTAAATAGGTAAATTTGGAAGAGATTTGGGTCAAAGTATAATTCTAAAAGTTAAGGGACTCAAGTATAATTTTTAAAAATTTATTGGGGTTATGGCATAAATCCCAGAAATGTAGGCCAAAAGAGGTAATCTAGTTTGGGGCCAAAATCATAATTAATATAATTTTTTTTATAATATATCTCAGGGCCTATGGAATTTCGACCCAAAAACTTTTACAAATCCTCACTCGATCTAGTTGTCTTCCCCTTTTCCCTTTTTTTGTACAGCACTCCATGAAACCAGATCCCTAAGATTCACTTTCTGACGTGGTTGTTGGGTCTTCACTAGTCGCAAGAATTGCAAAAGCAAGTGGGGCGTGAATCAGAGGCAGCGCACAAACAACACCAGCACCTACTCCGGTGACGTGAACTAAGGAAGACACCGGCACAACAACTTCGTCCGATTTACAATGCCGCAGCCATAGTCCTAAAGACACGGTCGACATCCAGCAGCGTAGAACCTAGAGGAATGTGCGCGATGGCGTGAACTTGTAGACGACCATGACGCCGGCGACTGAACCAGAGCAAACAATAGCTCTCTATCCGATGGTGGGTCCACAAAATCTGAAGAATCCATTGATCGCTTGAGATAGCTCGATTACCTCGAGTGTAGACAGACACACGACCCACTAGACCCCAAAGTCTTCAACGAGTGTAGAGATAATGGAGTAGAAGAAAATGTATCGTGTGTTTAGTGGTTATCGACTGATCAACTTATAAGGATCAGATCAGTAACTGCTTTATTAAATAATTAAATAATTATATTTCATTATCTCTGACTTAGTCAATTAAAAAATAGTAAATAATTAACGGCTACTGAGTTATGGATTGAGCCTCTACCCATTGGACTCACTTGTATAGTCCATCTATCACGATTCACATAAGATCATAAAGACCAATTTATTTGGACTTATTAATTAATGTTAATCCATGAATAAATATTCCAACACTACTTTCATAAATTAGAGAATAAATAATATGATATTCTTAAATTATTTAATAATTATTCAGGCGGTAATTAAATCAATAATCATTATTTTCAATTGCGTGACTTAATGGACCCACTCCATCACCTTCAGGCAGAAAAGTTCGAGACAAATAGGCTGCATCTAATAAAAAGTTAAATAAACTAAAAGAGAATTTGTGAATACTTTATTGAAAAAAACAAATCCCCTTTAACCTTTATGGTTTGATCTTTAAAAGATGTGAAATTAGTGGGTTCTCCAAAGCTTATAATTCCTCGCACAGTTCTTGGCCTGGATTTTTAAAGAAGAGGATGAAAAATGATACATGTGTGGTCCTTATAAATTCAATTTTCAATTTTATTTTTACAATTTAATATTTTTAAAGTTATTATTTTATTTTTCAATATTTTTACATATAATTAATTTTCTTAATTATCTTTTTGTTTACTGCTTTTATTATCATGCATGAGCCATATTCAATGTATTAATATAATATAAAATTAGTGACTTTAATAAATTTAAATTTTCAAATTTGTATAGATACTCATGATAAAGAATTAATTATAATTTTTAAATATAAATATTGAAACAAAGTTAATAAATTTTCTGGTGCCAAAAGTTTAATTTTTATTAACATCAGTGCACAGTTAGGACTAATAAGTAAATCACAAAACCGTTTCTAAAATTTCTTAAAACTAAATGAAGCTATTCTTTAATATATATATATATATATATATATGTACACAGAGAGAGAGGGAGAGAGCTGTTATTGAAATAAAAAATTTATACAATATTTTTGTCCAATTCTAAAATTTTTGCATGCAAATACAATTCATTGCAACTAAAAATTAAAATCAAATGAATTATTTAAGATATTAATTATCATCAAATGAATCAAACCTCAACAAATCCTTATCACGATGCGTTGCATTTATGTAGACTCGACCCTTTGGAGAGGACATGTGGATTGCGTTAACATACCTGAACTCCTTGGCGGCTTCTTCTTGACTTTACCATGTATTATCCATCAGCATCAAATTAATTATGATAGATCACGTAACTCCACCAAAGGATCATCAGTTTTTTTTAATATAAAATTAAGGAAAATATTAATCATTTTTATATATTAATATATAATACGGAAATTAGAAAAAAAATATAATTGATACACTTCTTCACATGTATAGTGCTATAGTATTTAAATATCAATAATTAATATTAACCACAGGTTAAAAGTATACTTCAACATAATATAAAATATAAATTTATAACAAACTGAATTTTTTTGTAAGAAAAATTACTTCAAGGTCCCTTGTAAGGAATTTAATTATAAAAAATTTTTATAAAATGTACAAAATACTCTCAAGTATCAAATCCTATGTAATTATAATTTGACAACAGAAAATGATAATTTAACAAAAGAAAATGACAACTTAATATTAAACTTATATCCAAATTATTATTTTCCTTTGTTAAGTTGTAATTGTCCAATATTTGGGAATTGGAAATACATTTCATGTGACTTTTTAGTAATTAAAATCCTTATAAAAATCTTGGAGTGATTTTACCTTATTTATAATGAAAGGTTTTTTTTTTTTAAAAAAAAATGACATTAAACCCACATGACCCATCAATTAGCCCCCCCCGTTTTTTTTTTGCCAGAAAGGGAGTACGTCAGAGCAATGTATTATATCAAAAGAAAGCAAATTAAAAATAGGGGAAGGGGAAGACAAATCCCATCCAGAAGGGCACCCCTCTCATGACACTCTTTAGCTAATTAGTCACTAGCAAATTAGTCCTAAAAATCCAGGATAAAGACCAAGTTTTATTAGCCGCAAAGAGTCCTGAATATCAACCATGAGTGTGGAACAGGTCCATTCCAGGCAAGCTAAACTAGAGTTGACGGCATCAACAACCAATTTACA